GACACAAAATCGTACTTTTTCTGAAATAACACGCCAATTTTTTTGCATATTTTGATTCTACGACTCAAATTATACCTAACTATTAAATTTTGTAACATTTGGTGAGAAATTTACGGAGAAATTCAAAAATTTATCTTGGCGCTTTTTTTTTTTTTTTTTTTTTTTTTCAGTTTGCGCTAACGGAAACCTTTTTTCCTTTCCCTTTTTACATTGTGCGCGACCAGAAAAAAGTTACTTCGATCTTTCTTTCAAATAATGTTCTTTATATTAAATTTTTAATTACAATGGTTATTATTTTAAATAATACTTTCTTTTTCAAATTTCATTTTTATTGTTTAAGTTTCTTTCAAATAACTGTTTTAAAAATTTCTATTTACTCATTCGAGCTGCGTAGTTTAAATAAAAGGTGCATCGTTTATTTTTTTCAAATAGTTTTCTTTACTATATTTTTTAGTCATAGTTATTATTTAGGTAATTCTTAAATTTTTTAGATTTTTATTTTAATTGTTTGTGTTGCATTGTCTCTTTAGATAATTGGTGTTTGGTGTGTGTGATTATGGCAAAGCCTCGAGGGCTATCTGCCTAAGGGGAGGGATGCCTTCGTGGAGGACTTTCTAAGGGAAACTGGCTCGTATACACGTTACACATGGGGAAAACCACGAAAACGCACATGCAGCCAGCCCGTTCGCGGGATTCGAGCCTCGGACCGAACTACCAGTGTTCAGCGACTTTACCGCTCGGCCGCTGGTGGGCCCTTTAGATAATTGTTTTAAAATTTTCTATTCATTCATTCGAACTGCGTATTTTAAATAAATTTATTAATATGAATTATCCAGAATTTGATTTTATTTATTTGAATTGCGTTTCTTTCGGAAGAATAATTTGTGACCCAGACTACGATGCGTTCGAAAACTGCATACATTAAAAGAGAAAATACAGTAAAGCACAGTTCACACGCCTCTCAATGTTCCGTTCAGAAAAGATATATAAATAAAAGAGATGTATATCTGACATTTTAGGATGGCCTTGCAAACATTGCTTTAAACAGTTTTATCATTGTGCCCATTGCTTTAAACAATGTTATCATTTTACATTTAATTTCTTAAAATGTTATTCGTATTTCAATCAAATATAATAAAATTTAAAAAAATTAATTAAAAAAATATTAAATTTTATGCAAAAATTTATTTTTTCTTCTTAATGGCTTGTTCTTTTCCGTCAGGCATTCTGCAAGTATAACTTTAAATAAAGTTATCGCCTTCCATTTTAAAAGGGCCCACAAACGGCCGAGCGGTAAAGTCTCTGAACACTGGTAGTTCGCTCCGGGGCTCGAATCCCAACGAACGGGCTGGTTGCAAAAGCGTTTTCGTTTTTTTTCTCATGTGTAACGTGTATACGAGCTGGTTTCCCTTAGAAAGTTCTTCACGAAGGCATCTCTCCTTTTAGGCAGATAGCCCTGCTTTGCCGTAACTTAACAATTCAATTCAATCCAGTTCATCAGATTTGGTCACAGCCTTTATCAGTTTCTACAGCCTAGGCATCTTAAAGGCATGAGATGAAAGGAAAGACTGGTTTCATCAAGAGGGAAAACGTCTTTAGACGATATCCATATACGTCACTAGATAAATTCCTGTATCTTCAAATAATTCGATTGAGAAATCATGGGATGCTCTGTTTATGATACGATATAATGTTCTATGACGTAATTTAAATTTATACAACCATATAGTCGAAAATCAGTCGCACTTCCCTTCAATCTGCAATGATATTGTTTTTTATCTTTTCTGTTAGCACAAAGTCAATTGCTGCTCTTTGCTGGTGTACACGTCCAAGTGTTTTTTCTTTGAACACCCAACTTCCTTGAAGTAAATTCCCCTTTAAATTTTTGCTTCCCCCCCTAATTTCCTTCTACATTTGTTTTTAGTGCTGATACAAGAAAATTAAGATTTTTTGATTGTTACACTTCCATAAATTTTGCATTTTTGTCAAATTGCTTAAAATATTAGTTGCATCAAATGCGCTTCAGCTGAAGACAGCTTTTCATTTTCTGAACATTTTAACAATAAATAAAGTTTAAAGCAAAGTCGAAAGGATAAATATTTGAAGTAAAATGTTTTTGTTAAATGAGAAAGAAATAAACCACTCCAGCAACGCTTATCCTGTACCACAGAATGACTCGATTCTTGTATCGAGTGCAAACAATCTAAATCCTATTATTTAGAGTTTTTAAGCCTAATAATTTCTATATTAAAGAACATGCTTTTTATATAATCTACAACACGAGAGGAAATTACTACTTAAAACATTCTTTCTAAGAGAATTAACATAAAAATTTATATATATATATATTTTTTAAAGCTGGGACATGACCTAAACTGTCAACGTGCTGTTTGCTTAAAAACATTGTGAAAATAAACATCAAACGGACTTTCTCAGTTTTAGAAAATTCAATTTAAATGTAGTTAAAGTAGCAGACGATAACACGAAAGAAAAAAATTCACTCTTACATATATTATATTAAAAACAAAGGCAGGAAGAAATTTAAAAAAAAGTTTAAAATTTCAATAATATCATCAATAATTAAAAAAGTAGTTTTTCATATAGTATTAATACATATTTATTACGCATCACTGAGAGAAAAAATTCATATAATTAATTCTCTTTAAAAATTTATTCGAAATTTAAGGTTGAAAATAGCTATAACAATTCACTGTAACAAAATCCATAAACCACATTTGGTGTTATTATCGCTCAAAAAAAAGATGCTAAATTTCAAAACGCGAAAATATGTAAATTCGTGTATATCTTAAAAAATTTTGAATAAAAAACTCTAATTAATTAAGGTATGCTTAGAAATATATCTACTTAAGATGATGGTAAAAATTTTATAGGTTATAATACAAAATTTCTTTCGGAAAATTAATAAAATTTTTTTAAAAAATAGAAATTTTAAAATAAAAAAAAAAAAAAAAAATGGGTGAATTTTATTTGGAATAAAACTTAATTTTTGAAATGTGAAAGGAAGAATAAAAAAAAAGTTTAATAAAAAAGAGATATTAACAAATATATACCAAATTCAATTAACATTGAGGAGCTAAAATTTTGAGAGCTAATTTTTTAAAAACTACTCGTGCGATTTTTACAAAACTTGGCAGTCTGGCATAATTTAAGTCGTAGAATAGAAATACAGAAAAACATTGGTAAGTTATTTTAGAAAAAGTCCGATTTCATATCAAAATACCTATGTTAGAATATTGCTATATATAAATCTATATATATCCTAAGTCGCGCTTTCGAGACATGAAAAACGCAATTTGAATTTCGTCAATTGGCCCAGTAGAACGGGCGATATAGAACTGTCCTTTTTTTTTTTTCCCGCAGTGCACCTGTAACAGTAACGTAATAAACCAGTATTATTTTAATATTACACAATGAATATCAAATTCGAATAAAAAATACGCATCTTCATCTCTGTAACAAAAAATTCACAGGTGGTATAAACTGGGAGAAAAAAAAAAAAAAAAAAAAAAAAAAAAAAAAAAAAAAACATTTAAAGGGTATGGGGTAAACTGGAGTTCTTAAGGAAGAAAACAAAATGAATTCCAGATGGTACCTGTATTATCCTAGCTTTGGAAACGGAACTACCATTTTTAACACAATCTTATTGACAGGTACTGCATGGTATTATGCTTTTTATCACAAGTTAAAAGATTCGTCTTTATTCGTGCATCGACTAAAATGAATAAAAATGCAAAACTTTGAATTTTTTTTATATAAATATGATACATTATCACTCTTTGGACTGATCCTTTCAATAAAGCCATATGTAACAACAACAATGATACATTATGACATAAGCGTAAAATCAAAATTAACGCAATTTTCTACGGAATGTCTGGTCTTACAATGTCTTCGGGGAAAAAATGGCTTTCATTTCTTAAATAATAAACTTAGACATATATTTTTCTCAAAGGTCTCTCAAAATAAGGCGCAAAATTTTAGGAAAATTACCTCGACACTACGGGTGGGGAGGGTAAAAAGCAAACATATTTTATGGTTCTGATATAGTAAAATTTTTCAACAGTAAAATATTCACGAGTATATCTTAATCAGTTACGCAACTAAAATATGGTTAATAAAAATTTCCGAGGGGCCAGCTACGAATGCTATTTTAACCAAGGTGGCATTAGTAACTACCAAAATGAGCAAATTCTGTTGCTCTTTTCTAAATTTCCTCTCAGAAGTCTTGGAATTACGTCGAGATTAAACGCTGGAAAAAGATATGATTCAGTATATTTGCTCTTGAATACTGTACCGAATTTTGCACGTAAAAATTTGAAACATTTTACTTTTAACTTAGCAAATAATAATACATAAAGTAAGGAACATAACGAATATCAGCTTTCTAATCACTAATGGAGCGGTAATTCCGTTAGAAATATTCTACATTGAGTTTATGGAATGGTAGTTTGTGGAGTACAAATAATCTGGAATACTTCTAAACACGTATACTACTACTATCTTATGCTAAAGTATTACATATAGTGCAACTTGCTTAAGCTCAACAAAAAATATCATTGCGGATAAAATAGCTTTGAAGCAGGGGAAAAGAAAAAAAAATAATAATTCGATATTTGAGTTAAACCAAACTTACTAAAGCTTGAAAAAGATGAAACGAAATTCTAATACAAAAAAGTGTTTCGTTTCTAACACTTCCTCGGAAATATGTTTCTCATGCATATATATACTAAGGAATACAAGCGGGCAATTAATGCTTCATTCTGATGTTTACACGCTGCTCATATGTAAGAATATTATAAGAATAATATATATAATGAATATTATGAAACTGAACTATAGTCATCGTTATGTTAACAAGCTTATCACGCGTATTGAATTCAGCCATTTTTATTGTTCTGTTCAAGAATGCAATACATAATTCTGAAGAAAGCATTAATAAATAAGATACAAAAACTAAACGTAATTCAAAAATGAAATACCTTTGAGCCAATAATGAGCAACACAGAGAAGATTCGACCACGCCGTCAAAAACTGGTCTGCTTTTTTGACGAAATATTGGAATAATAAATCCTTACACAACGGATGTAAACTTGAATTAATAATCAAATGGTATGCTTATTAAGAACAACATTTGCGCATGCGCATTGTTATTCCAGCTTCAACGGAGCATTTTAGGCGAACTTTACCGAAAGTAACTGTCAAATTTTAAAACATAGAAAGTATGACGAAGCAAAACAGTCATGCAATACTTTTTTTAATGATAAGGGGTTTTTTTATCATTCCATATTGGCAAAATTATTTTATGAAAACTTGTGAAAATTAGAACGAGATTATTCATGATTACGTATGATAGCACTAAATATAGAAGGAAATACAGAGGGGGAAGGAGAAGCAAAGAGAATAAGCAAATGATTTTTTTTTTTTTTTTTGTTTGTTTGTTTGTTTGTTAACTATTTTGCTTGTGATGTTTTCTAAAACAGAGCAAAATGAACAAATCCGAAAACTTTCGATTTATTGAACGTAGATGATTTTGTTTTAGGCATAATGGTCAAGGTCTTTTTTTATACTCTTCGTTTAGATAACATAAATACGAGCAATTTTATCTTCAGCAAGCTCTCAATGATAGAACGCTTCAAAGATTGAAAAACTCGCACGCTTATTAATTAAAAGACCAAACCTACTAAATTAAGAATTCTCACAAATAAAGAAAACGGCATTATTCGCCGCTTTGTTGTTCTGTGAAACCTTTCAGCAGGGGACATTCTAAGTGAAGATTTGAACTATTTTGCGCTTTACTGTATGACGAATTAAGGCATTTCTTCCGTGGAAGCTCTTGCGGTGTAGTCTTGTTGGCAAGTGGATGATCTGAGGTTCAATTCCCGGATCTGAGGTTACCGGTGTCCCTCGGAACCCTAATGTTTCGAGAGAAATCATTCGGGGTTCCGCAAAAAATAGTGCTGCACTGACTAACAATACCTAAATGCTTTCCCTTGGGGTGTAGTAGTCAGCATATTCAGGCAGCAAACTTGATGATACATGGTTCGATTTCCGGCTAAAGCACAGTCGAATTTACACTTTACCTGTCTCTAATTCCTCGGAATCTTAATTTTTCGGGAAAATTTACTATGGGTCCTGCAAGAAATACTGATGCCTTGACTACCTATATCTAAATGCAACTTTGAATCATTTTTGTGCTGATATATAATACTTATAACTTACTAATTAACCTTAATTTTGTAAATGATACTAATTCTAGTAAATTTAATAAACTGTCGTAATTTATCTTGTGGCGTTTCAACAATGTTCATGAATGAATTATTTTGGCAACTATTATCCCGTTTATTTCCATGTGTACTAATACTGGTTTTTATATTTATTTTTTTAATGTTTGCGAGTATGGAGGATAGATTTTTCGTCTGAATGAAAATCTCGGTATAATTTATCTCGATTAGAAATTTAAATTCACTACTTTTTTATGAATGCCAATAAACTTGAGAAAAATTTAAGGTCTAACCCTCTCTTTAACCAATCATTAGGACAGCACTATTATGTTTCCTTATGAACTTTATAAAAAGAAATAAGGATATTAATAATGATACATTAAAATTTTTACGCAGGTTTCCTGAGTTATGAATATTATTTCAAGGGTTCCACAAGGGTAACAAATTTGAGAAACAAACAATGTGCTATTCTCATAAATAACAGAACGAAATTTTATCATGCCAAATATTTTCCTTTTGCTCTTAATATGTAGGATCTATTTTTGTGCTTATGCAAAATGTGAAAATTGTAAAAAATGACAAAATACAAAAAATTAGATTTGTTGAGTTTATTTATTTACTATTTAACAGAAGTGTTAAATAAGAAAACTTACCAGTGAAAGAAAACATTCAGTTTTATTAATCAGTTAACAAAGTACTGAGCATACAGAAGCAAAACGTATTTCAAAACAAATATTTAAAAAAAAAAAAAAAAAAAAAAATCATAGTAATTTTCAAGTGAAATGCAAATTTTACATCTGAGAATTCATGTTTCAAACTTCTGAATTCTAGCCTTGAGGATATGAAGCCAAATGGTAAGAGCAAATCGGCTGTGCAGAAGAGAAAAGACCATTTTAAATTCCAGAACATTTAGATTTTAAAACATTTTCCAAATTACAAAACATGCAAGTTTCAAAATCATTTTTATACATGAAAGTACAGTAAAGTTCTAAAGCTCCATAAACATCACACTTGCATTATATAGTTATTTAAACAATGCTAGACAACACATCATTGATTTCAAACTTCTGTAGCTAACTGTCATTTGATTACAGTATACAGTTTTATAGTTAATATTACTTCCCTATTACACATCTAAATCTAGATATATATTTCTGGTACATTCTTTGAGAATTACTGTTCCAAACCACAATAATAATCTGATCTCTACAAGATATTTCATGAAATAGCTCATAGATCAGTAATGAATAAATTAATATAATGAAAAATTTAATTACTGCTAATATCAGATTAGTAATGAATAAAAATATTTCATGAAACATTATTCTCGTGATATAGATGATGATCACAGAAATAATGAAATGTATGTTACTACTGCACTTTCAGATTAGAACTATGTTAAATATGATCTCTGTTTTCACATTCCTTAAGGCTGATCTAAAAATGAAAATATATTTAAAAATCTGCAAAAAAGAAATATGTACTTTAAATAACTCTTAATCCTAAATATTAAAAATGTGAAAATAATTCCTTTATGATTTTAGATGATGAAATACTCTCCTACAAAAAGCATATTCATGTGATTTAAATTGTTTTGTAATAAAACTGTTTGTCAGTTGCTATTAACAAAAAACACTAGTGACTAAAAACCTTATTTTTCAGATGAGACAATTACTAATTTATTTTTTACTTAAATTATGTGCAAAAGACAGCAAAGTGGGCAAAATTATTCTCATGAGCAAAAACATTGACCAAATTGTTGCTATTTTAAAATTAATGGCTCATTCATTTTCAATTATAACATGAGAAATAATATGTAATATACAATATAATATGCTTTCAAAAGAGATAAGTATAATATATAGATGTATTACTACATGATACTTTTAATTAAAATAACAATTGATATTTTGATGAAACTAGTACTGTAAAATAAAATTAAATAACTTTGGTTCACAACAAGTTTCTTACATCCAATTTCCTACAAATTTTTAGACTAATCATTTACATATTTCCCAAAAAATTATAATAAAATCAGTAATGTGCCATAAGGTGCAATAAACTTAGTACATCATCTAGCATATAACATACAGATATTTAATCTGGCTTTCTTACTCTTAAAAATACAGGCTCAGTTGCTTATTTTCCATTATTATATATTTACTTTATGGTTAAAAGCAGTTAACTACCAAATTAAAAAAATATTTATTCTGAATTTACTATCCAAATACTATTTGAACTGACTTACAAAATGCATGAAACAATGAACATCTTCTTCTTTGGTAAACTATGTTTAGTTTTCTTCTGAAAACAGAACATTTTAACCTTTTTTAATACTGACAATTTTAATCCACACATTTTATTCATGATAACTTTAAATGAACACAAATTTCAAGGTAACACAAACACATCAGTACTATTTGGCGACTGATAATACTTGAATTAATGCAAAGTTATCATGATTTAATATCATAACATTCGGTTAGTATTAGCTTTAGAGTTAACTTCATGGCCAGTTAGTTTATGGAGTGATATGTCATTGAAGAAGGACTTGTTACCATATTAAACCAATATGAATTGTAAGCTTATTTTGATGATTGACTCAGTATATTTATTATTATCCAGTCAATGAAATTTGAATGATTAATTGTACTCAACAGTAATTTTTAAACAATTAAGCTTAGATGGCCAGAAGTTTTAAGCATCCAATTTCCTCATAGTTACAAACATATCAGATGCTTACATTATACTATGCTACCTTTTTTTGTTGTTTCATTATTCACTTACATCATTTATTTTGCCATGGTTTTCTATATGATACATATATACTCAAACATATACATAAAGTTTACAGCAGCTTTCAAAACTGGAGAGCAGAATAAGCTAACTATTGGGTCATTGCAAAAATTATGCAATTTTTGAAATCAAAGAACATTTTTTTCTAATTATTTTCTTCTTGCTGACACGGAATAACCTTGATTGAAGCAGATGTTTAAGTATGGTCTTTCCTGCTTATGTCACATACTTCTATTATTTATTGTGGCATAACTTTTCTTTGACTGCAATGCTAAGAATGGAGAACTCAGAAGTGTATTTTTATTATATTATACTTATTTATTAAAAAAAAATTGCCAGTCAGCCTGCTTGTAAAATTTGTGCTATATATGGAAAAAGTGCTGTTTCTGACAACACAGTTCAGAAGTGGTTTAAAATGTTTAAGCATGCAAATTTCAGCCTCAAACATGATGCATGTTCTAGATGGCCATCCCTGTAAACAAGGACCAGTTAAACGAAGCTGTCCCCGAAAATCCAACTTATACAGTTCATGATCTATCAGAGAGGATAAATATTCAAAAAAGTAAAGCACATGATCAGTTGAAGAAGGCATATGCAAGCTGTTATGATGTAAGGATACCACATACTTTAACAGAGAAGAATATGCTTCCTTGAGTTTTGGCATGTGATTCTTTGCTGAAAAAAATAAAGAAACTTCTTTTGAAACAGCTCATTACTGTGGATGAGAAATGGATACTACATAATAATGTTACAAGAAAAATATCACATGGAAAGCCAAAAGAACCCCCTTTTAGTAACTTTGGGAAGGAGGCTGCATCCCCAAAAAGATATGTTTTGTGTATGGTGAGACTACAAAGGAACTGTATGCTATGAATTGTTCTTAGCAATTCAGACAATAAATTCAAAAGAATATCGTTCCCAAATGGCTGTTTTAAAAGAATAAATTAAATCAAAGCATCCAGAACTGGCCAGGCTTCAAGGTATTTTTTTTAATCATGGCAATACTCAGCCCCACATTTTAGTGAATGTCATACAGACTTATTGAACATGGCAAAGATGTTTTGTGTCACCCCTTCCCCATATTCACCAGATCTTACCCTCTTCGATTTTCATCTCTTCAGGTCACTGCAAAATTTTTGAATGGCCTTGAGTTTAATTCTTAGGAGACTGTCAAAAAGCATGCCAGTAACTTCTTTATGAATAAACCTAAAGACCTTTTCAAGAAAGGAATTTTCCAACTACTTGAGAAATGTAAAAAGTCAAAGAATAAAATGTTTTTTATGTTATTCAATGAAAATGTCTTATTTTTTGTACTGCCTTATTTGTATTTGCTATGAAAGACTGCAAAACTTTTCGTATGACCCAATGCGTAGATATTTTCAGTTTATCATTAAAGCCAATATCTTTTATGAAGTCTTTCATGATGGTAAAAATCCTCTCCAAGATAAATGGTAGTTTATAACTATTTTGTTGTAATTAGTTAGCCTAACTTAAAACAGATTTGCATTAAAATAAATAAAAGTATAAACTATTTGGGAGATGAATTAATTTTTCTCATAAATTTTCCAGGACAAGATGTGCCAAACAATTTTCTACAAAGAGATATATGTGCTAATGTTGTGAATTAACTGCCATTTTAGTGAATGTGTTGTTCTTATCTCCCACTACAGCATTTTTACTTTCAAATTATTGTTAAAAATTTTTTTTAAAGTGTGTCATTCTATTTCATTCACTGTTTTTTGAAAAAACTAAATTTGAAATTCTTATGTTTAATAAAATTTTATCACAAACAAAGTGAGCCGAGGATGAAAGTTTTTTCATTAGACATATCAAATTGGTGCATATGTCTTTCTGCAGAAAACAGTTTGGGCATGCTCTTCAAGTAAGAAAAAAAGCATTTGATGAAGAAATGATTCCTTCAGATATAAACAATATTTTGTAAGATGAGTCGGAAATTTTTGTCCTTTAAACTATATTTAAAACTAAATTCTGTTCTTTTAAATATAACTTCAATTTTTTTTTCAATTGAGCATTAATTCCTCTTTATATAACTTTTGAGAATATTTATATGTTCCCAAGAGTCAAATCTCAATCTAAAATACTTGTAGCGTTTCCAGTTTATGAGTTTTCATTAGCTGGTTTAAAATTTTCTAATACAGCTCATTTATATTGCCAATCTTATAACTTCTATATGATGTTTAATCTCACTGCAAAGATTTTCTGGTAATATCATACATTTAGTTTTTACTGCTCACACAATATAAGTTACACATTCTGTGTTTTCTATTCTTGAAGTTCTAATTAGTATTATGATATTATAGTTACTCCAGAGAATAGAATTCGGGGAATGAACAAAAGAATAGCTGTGTATATAATAGGAAAGTCTCAAAATTGCATAGCACAAAATACTACTACAATCACCAAATATACTTGTTAGTGGTTTCTGAAATGGAGAATTATTGAGCCCAGATATTTCTTTCTTTTCTCTATATTTATATTACTTACCTACCCAAATATAAACAATACAAAAATGACTTAATATTAAACTAATTTTATTTTGTTAATAATTTAATAACATGTTATAATCATATACACACACAGTTATATATATAAATATATATATTCTTAACCATACCAATTTCACTACTTACCTGACTAAGCAAGTACCAGGCCAAGGTAAGTTCTGATAGAAATTGCGTTCTCATTAATATTTTGCTTATAACACTTTCCTCTTCATTAAAACATGGACATCTGGACTACTGAACCAAGATACACCACAAGCAACTACAATACATAAGGGAGAAAAACAGGTAGAACTGTAACACAGAAATTGAGCAAAGCATAATAAATGATAGGCGAGTAAACTAAGCAAACATCAAACAGATTATTGATGTCATTAGGAATGCACATTTTCCTCCAAGAAGTGAATCTTCAGAACTGATATGGTAAACATAATTCATGTTACTGCGTGTAATATATTATTGTATAATATTAGTTCAATAAAAGTTACTTGCTTGACTAATATTATACTAAAGCTAATTTAATTCTCTTCTTGAATTAAAAAAAAATACATAAATAAAATTATACCTTTAAATGATTTTTTACATACATTTCAGGTATATTTTAAAATGCATTATTATGGAATTTTTATTAACAGTAACAGCTATTTCAAAGTCTCCCATTCCTTCTTTTACTGAAACTTTTAGCAGATATATGTTAACAGCATTAAACTTCAAAGTTAGTATTTTTTGTATTAATCTGTTGAGGAAGATGGAATATAGGAAGAAAGATCTATAGTAGCAATACAGTACTATACTTTTATATGTGACAGAATTAGAGAAGCATTAACTTTTGATGTTTCCTGCACAAAAGTCTGAATATTTTCACTCATCTTTCCATTTTTTCCCTAAGCATAAATGGTTGCAAAGATTTTAAAAAATAAGAGAAAGAAAAAAAAAAAAAAAAGAGTTCTACATTTACAGCTGCTGAAGTACATCAAACAATACACACATTACTAGTAATACCCACAGAATCATTTACCTTTCACAAGCAAAGAAGAAACGGACACAAAAGTAATGAAGCACTTATGGGATGTAATGTAAACCTCTTGTTTACTTTATTCAAATGAAAACTACACCCTTTTTCCCCAGAACTGAATCTATTTTTTTTATGTCATGTTTCTCTTTTGTAATGCAACTTTAACACCCTTAAAAATACAAACACATTAAACATTGGACTAACATAAGTGATGTTATGCCAAAATGTTGATGTATCTAAGAATAAGGATAGTTCTGAGGATAGATAGTTTTCAAGATCAGACCAGCTTTTGCAGATATTTTAGCTACAGTTGGTTATATTTTTTCATTATATTGCATTCATATATTCTGACTGGAAATTTCTTTCTGTCTTGAGCAAAATAAGTCACACAAAATCTTATGTGATGTTATATAAAAAATTGACCTATCTCATGATAAGGATAGTTCTGAGGATTGATTGCTTTGAAGAAAAGACAAGCTTTGGCAGATATTTTAGCTACAGCCAATCCCAATTTTGCATAATTTTATATTAAAACAGTATACAAACTATTTGTTTCAGAAAGACACAGTAAATGAAAATTCATGTTTAAAAACATGGAAAATTTTCTCTTCTAGTTAGATTCTTATCTAATTAATGTTTTGAAAACAAATGTAAAAAATTATGACTATATATTTTTTAAAAATTATGATTTAATACTAAGATTTTTGCTATTAAAAGTAAAGGACTTACTGGGCTATAGAAGATAAAAGAGATATGGTTTTAATTGTAACAAAATCAGTGAGTAGACTTCCATCATTTCTTTGAAAATTTTTTAAAATAAAATTACAAACCCTTTTTTTAATAAAGCATAATTAGATTGTTTGAACTTTCTATTTTCTTGTTTGTAGGAATACATTCCTCAGGATATGTACCAATTCCTAGACATTGACAAACTCCTAGAATATCTTAAATGGAAGAGTAGCTAGACAAGGATTTAACATTTCACCATATAATAATGAACCATCATGCTTTTGACTGATAGTTGCATACTCCCTGATTTGGTTTCTTTAATTCCAAATGTCTTCAATTCCTAGGCATATGATGATATAATGAAAATTTTTACCTTAACTTAATGCTATCAAGAGAAAAAATATTTTATCCTGGAATTTGAGCACTATATTTCCTCCGCTAGCTTTTTAGCACCAGGTTCTGAAAAATTTTAAAATATTTGCACCCTTTCCCCCCTTCCTCAATGCATTTAGAAAATAAGCTTCCATAAATTTTAAAATGGATTCATCTAGGCAGTGATTGTATTCAGCTCATTAACAAAGACTAATCTTTGCAAACTACCTGTGAAGGTCAAGTTGAAACTTTCTCTTCTAACTGTAGAACTTTATACCACAAGAACTGACCAATTACAACAAAGCAAACACAAACTGACCTTTGGTCTACGATTTCACTGAGTCAGCTGCACATTCATCCACTCTATTATTTATCAATGATTTGAGGCCTAAGGAGCAACCAAGACAACCAATTGCCAAGAATAGGCAAGATTCAACTTATAGGGAAGTAGAAATGAAGATATCTCTTTAGATAGTATAATGTTAATATTACTATGTATTTTTATTGGAATATAGGTAGCTTATTTTAAACAAATAATAGTGTGATAGTTACCAACAATTTATCCATGCCTACTTTTAATTTGCTATGTTTTTAATATAATTGCATTATTTGAAAATTAAACTATTTCCCCGATTTTCTCCTCTCAACTTTTGAATGATAAAATTAGTTTAAAAAGGGGGGAGGATCATGTGAGAAAATTTGGTGTAATGCGTTCTGTTTTTGTCACAATTACACTGATGTGGAAAATGTCTGCCATTAGCATCCAAAGAGAGATAAATTTGTTGATGAATATTTTCAAATGTATGTTATAATATCCACGTATTTATTGTTTCAGATGATGTCAAAATACTGTTTTTCAGCTGCTAATGGTTAAGAAGATAGTTATTCAAAATTCAGGTATATTCATCATGTGGGTCACAGATGGTGGCTGGTTATATTTTTCAGGCTATGCAACCTCACATAACATATAAGTGTGATTGAATGTGAAATCACATATCATTCATGAAGAAAGAATACATTGCATTAAACAGGCACATGGTGCACTACAGAAGTGAATAATTGGTGCCACATTGCTTTGAATAGACTGTCAACATAGGTATTTTCTAAACTAATTTGATGAAATTGAACTATAGAATTACTGCAACTTACCCTTCTTTCAGTACCAAGAAAAGATATTTTTTCAGGTGAAGGATTTCAAGCCACCTATGAATGTCCTAAGACTTTACTTGACTATTTCTTACAGGATCACTTAAAGCTACTGCATATGGCAATGAACCTAGGGCCATTCAACAGCTGAAAAACACTGCACAGGCAATTAATTAAATAAGCATCAATATATTGAAATATACAATTTAAGATATGCATTAACGAGTTGGTCTGCGTTTGGATGACAGTTAGTTATTTTAAACATCTGTAATATCAATGTAACTGCAAAAAAAGTAGAATAGTTTATATTATAATATCAGCTCAAAATATAATTATGTATAAAACTGTAAATTTCCTCATATAAAATTTTAGCATTGTCTTCATCTTATTAGTGCTGATTTGAGCAGATCAAAACGCTTTAAAACAAAACCAGAGTGATAAGTTTCTTGTACTTATTTCTGTTGATCCCCTTTTTATGAATATATCAAGAGTACAAATAAGTATTTGCTGTTTTTTTATTAAAATTGGTCATTTATTGTGAAAGAACAGTATTATTAGAGTCTTCTAATATGTTTTGGAACTGTAAGGTATTGTAGACCTTATCTGAAAAGATTGAGTAGCGAATTCTTGTTAGGTCTTGGAAGAACAGATGTCTGCAGAAGACGGTTTAAATAACCTTTTTATTTGAATTTAACAAAGAATGCATTCACTTGGTGCTCACAATCTACCACCACTTCTGGCTAAGTAACTTAACGGAAAAATAAGATGCAAGATCACAATAAAGTAAGACGGGCAACAAGACTGGATGGTTTGGTCTAAACCGCTAAATCAGCTACACAGAGCAAAGCCGAAGCTAGAATATCAACATAATCTAAGGAGAGTGGCTAAGAACCAACTATTCACGTGCAAAGCTACTTCAAAATTGTGGCATAAATTTGGAACTCTCTGATTACAAACTCTTAAAAGGAGTTTGTAGGAGAAAGGAAAGTTCCTGAAATTAAAAATAATTGGTTAGAATAAAATAAGGTCTTTGAAGTATGTTATGTTTTATTCAAAGTATAGCCCATCGCTAGCCATTACTTTTTCCCATCTTTCTGGCAACATATGGATACCACAACAGAAGAATGCTTCATCTTTCGAGACGATCCACAAACCAACCCCATTTTTGTTATCTTAATATGATATGAAGTGTTGCTCAGACAGGCCATGCATCATCAATCAAAACAAGTAGTAATCAGAAGTGTCTGGTGAATACAAAGGGAAGGGGGAAAATTTCTCCTTTCAGTGTTGCTGAGCAGGTTTTGACAAGCACCACAACATGTAGATGAGTGTTATCATGCAGGAGAATAATTTTGTCATGTCTGGAGTATTATAGTAGATGCATTTTTCTTTGAGTACTCGAATCAATCTCATCAATTATATTTGGTAGAAAGCTCCAGCAATGGTTTCATTCAGTTTGAGCAACTAGTAATATGCGACACCAAGTTGATAACACAACACCATATACACAACATGATTTTTTTTTTCCACGAATATTCGGCTTGGCTGTCGATGATCATGGTGCCCATGATTTCTTCTTCCTTCGGTTATCATAGCAGATTCATTTTTCATCACCAGTGACTATATGATGCAAAAAAACCCTTTCATTTATGCCTGCCAACCAGCATTTCATGTGTAAGAAACTGGTGTTCAATGTTTTCAGTTTCATTTCATATGGATCCCAATTTTCTTGCTTTTGAATGATTCCCAATGATTTTAAATGATGTGAAATTGATTGTTGAGTCACTCCTAATGTAAGTGCAAGATCTATTTGTGTTTGACACGAATCTTCATCCAACAGTGCATCCAACTCCCAGGCCTGAATCGAATAGGTGCGGGGCCCGATTGGATTTTTTTTATGCGGGGCTCTCTCTATATATTAAATATTTAAATAAAATTCAAATTGAGTATATATATATAACTATATCCCGATTAAATTCAATTTATTTGACATGAACTTTTACAGGTATCAGTTTTCTATATTATAAAGTATATATTATATAATAATAAACACATTAATAAATCTCATCCAGCAGTGCGAACTTAAAATAAATACATTTTTAATTACTTGAATAATTCATAATTTATCCATTATTGTCAAAAGCAATTTGCTTTAAATTTCGAAATAATTTTTTTGTTCATTTTGATGGTAATGCGGGGCCCGATTGCCCTTTGTCCGGCCCTGCCAACTCCACGTCTTTGTAAACTTCCGCTACATTCTTTGCCTTCAATGTCAAACCTTTGAAACCACTCATGACAAGGTCTCTCATTTAAGGCAGCCTCATCAGATACTTCTAAAAACAATCAATACACCTCAGCTGCAGAATTTTTCAAATTACAAAGTTCCCCAAAATGATGCTCATTCAAATCAAAACTTCACATTTTCGCATGAAAAAAATATATGATGCTGATACAAAATCGCCAATATTTCAAGGTTATTTATTACCAGATGTTCAACCTTACAACATTTTACTTCACACAATTGTAACCATAACTTAATGGTGGTGCAATTGTTTGCCAAATGGCAGAGACATATTTATGCTCTCAATATTAAAAGCAGGTGGCTGCAGAGACTTCGTGTTACATATTGCTTTCATGCTGTTGTTTTTTCTTTTCCTACACTTTGAATTACATGAGGTACTTATACGTGATATGGCTACTGAATTGCAATAGCACATTTCCAAGACCAAGGAGAATGTGTTTAAGAAATTCTGGGTTATTGTTAAATACAGCATGTGTAAGTAGCACTGTCTCTGTAGCATATGTAAGTAACCCTACACGCTTTGTTCTGTGGTTACACACATAATGCAACAGATGAACTTTATTGTGATATAGTCTTGATCTCTTATGTATCATGATACATATTTTATACAGGAACGCCTGTTTACTACGATGTGAAATGCATTTTTCTAGACTAAGAATAATTTGAATTAGCGAGTGTTTATCGTTTACTGGCGTTCCATGTACACATTAAAAATACAATTGAGTAACTGAATCAATTAAAAGCTCTTTGAATAAATTTTACAGAGATTACATAAAACCCCATGCTTATTCTCGACCACCCCGTACAATATTACAAATGAACCGCCAGCCGCAAAACACAAAAACGGACTAAGGAGAGTTGAGCTACGCATAGGAATTTTCCGTGCTAATGGTTAAAATTGGATAAAACAATAAAAATCATTAAAATTCGAAAATTTCTATGAACCCATAATCTATCTCGTTTAAATATATAATTATGAAAAAAAAATATTTTAAGATTTCATCATTAGTTTGAATATGTAAAATGAAGATTAGATGCTACTTTTTATGATACCAGAGTAAATGCTAGAAAGTTAGCGAAAGCTTTGGAGAAGTTTAATTCTGACTGTAACTGTAGATACATTTTTGTTTTTGTTTTTTTTTAAATCATTTTCAGCGGGAGAAAAGTATTTGTAGCGAAGAAGAATGATAAAGGATGTTGAGTAACTTGATTAGACTACGGTTTTTATGTGGTATAGTACATCTGGTGCTTTTGTTAGTAATACTAATCTGGAAACGGGTAATTATTTTGCCCTTGGCTGGAATTTTGATCATTAATGCAACATCTGTGAAATAATTTAAAAATCAAGAAATATTTTAAACGCACTTAAGTACTAAATAGTTAATTCATCCGTAATTAATCAAATCAATAATATAGTGTAAAGATTAAGAAACATTTTGATTTGAAGTACCTAAGTATTGAATATTTAATTCATCCATAATTGTTCAAGTCTGACTTTCAAATTTGTGGTAGTCATCAACGTAGCTAATCGATGTTACCATTAAACAAACATCTAATATAAATTATTTCTGTCTTAGTTTGTAAAGTGATTATTTCGAATTAGTGTAAAGTGATTATTCCGATATATTCGAAAGCCACAATTTATTCATTAAGTTTTGTTTGTTGGTTTCTTCATTTTTGAGCAGTTTAATTAATAAATTTATTACATTATGTGTATTTTACATGATGCAGTAAAACTTCTTGTGACTTGCAAACTTTAAATTACACTTTTGCGCGTGTAATTATTAAAATACTATTTTAAATTATTCTTTTAAGCTGTTAGTCAGTATTTGCAATCAAAAGGAGATAGATTTGAATGTAGAATTAATTAAAATAGTTTTTACTTCTTCAGTTGTGTGGAGCTGAAGCTTGATTTATTTAAAAATGCTTTTTCAAAAGCTGTTAAATGTATAAAATAAATAAGCTGACTATGTGTCTCGTTTTTTGCCATTCTGTCATTTTTATCAAAGTGACAACTTTGTAATATTTTTAATAGAAGCTACAAGTATGATTTTATTAAACAATCGTAGATTTTTGTTCATAATTTCTAATTTGCGTGGATGTTAATATTAGAAATGCCAAGATAATTATGTAATTATATTGCTAAATTTGTGGGATTTAAAAAAAAAAAACTTGTTCCATAATTCAATAATATATTCAGCAATATAATTCCATATTTATCTGGAATGTCAAGGTAATTATGTTATTATATTGCTGAATGTGTGGTATTTAAAAAAAAAAAAAAACTTATTCCTGAAGAAGAGGGACCTATGTCTGAATGCCTTCGAAACTGATTGTGTTTTATTAAGAAACTATGCAAAATAAGGTTTCTGTTTACAGAATTTTAAACACGTTTTAGCAGTTAGATAATGAGAGCTTTGCTAAATTGTGATGCAAAGCTATGTCATGAAGTGTGAGAAGTTTCAGAAGAAATAGTGAAATTTTTGTTTTTTAAAAGACAGGAAGTACAGTGAAAGAATTACAGAGAAAGTAATGCACAAGTTTCAGGAAATGTATGCATTGCCTTCTTTTTAAACCTTTAATTGCAGTAAAAGGTATTGTGTGCTTTTAGATAGTATTTTAGAAGTTTTTTTTTTAAAAAAGTTTGTTATTCCTTTTTAAATTATCTCTCATTCACTTCTTTAATGGGAGAAATATCTTGTGTCATTAGAAATTTTAATATCTGCATTCTGCTGACTGTCATATTCCATTGCATCCCCAGGCATTGACAATTAAATAAAATCAGGAATCAGTTTATTACTTTGATTCATCTTTTTTATGCGTGCATATCATAAATATTTTCCTAATATTCTAGCATTTAATTTAGGTTCTCATCATATTTTTAATTTTATATTTATTAAGGCAATTTAAATATCATATTTTATATTTATTAAGGCAATTTATGGCTAAATTTCGAAAGATTAAAAAAAACTCTAAAAGCGTTGAAAAATTGTTTTCTGCAGTAAATTTTAGTTAATTTTTAGAACTATCATAATATACATTGCAACCAGTACTTAAGTTTGGTTTAATTTGATTTAGGCAAAGCAGCTGAGGGCTATCTGCCTAAGGGAAGGAATGCCATCATGGAAGAATTTCTAAGGGAAAACTGTCTCATATAATGGAGAAAAACAAAAATGCCCATGCAGCAAAACCAAATTTGTGGGATTCAAACCTCGGACTGAATTACCAGTGTTCAGCGACTTTACCTCTTGGCCACTGGTGGGCCTAAAGTCAATCAGAGCCTAGATATGATACTATTTTTTAGAGAAATCATAATTTCAGCATAGGTGCACTGGAGCCATAAATCATAAGATATTATTTCATTTTTTATGAAATCAATTTGTGATATCAACAAGAAATTTTATAATTCATGTAATATTTGACTAAATTCTTCCAGTTGAATATTACATTAATTTAGGAATGGCATTTTGATCAAATTGTAATTATCAAGATGTTGCTGGAATGAAATTTGATAGTTGATCAATATTTGTATACTAAATTAACAGTGAATAATTGTAAATTTCTGTAGTAATCTGTTATGTCAATTTTTTTCATTTAAAGGTATCACTAGTTTCATGAAATCTTTGAACTCTGAATAAATAGTATGCTTAGTAATTTTAAATGTGCTGAAATTTCATTTGAAATGTTTACTTTTCGTTTCCATGCCTTTAATTTATTCACCTTTCATTCTTACATTTTTTTTATTTCATTTTAATTCAATTTATTTTATTCATCATTAATATAAATTGTTATGTCTCTATATCTCATAGTATTTTATTCAATTTTAGTTGGTCATTATTTATTGCAATATTTATTTATTTATTTTTAATGCTTATTTAGTCACTTCCATTGGGCCCAGGCACTTTAAATTAAAAAAAAAAAAAAAAAAAAAAAAAAAAAAAAAAAATTAAATATTTTTTTTTACTGAGAAAGCATTAATTCAACAGAATTATTAGCTTTGTAAACATACATGTAGTTCTGACTGGATTGGGGATTAAATGGTGTGCAATTTGAAAAGGCCAATGTGCCAAATTAAAGTAAATACAATCCATCTTTTTAAGTATGAAATAAAGTTATAGAACAGAAAGGGAAGTGGAAGACCTTAAAGGGAAACTGGCTCATATACACATTGGGAAAACCATGAATATGTCCATGTAGCCAGCCAGTCTGCTGGGATTCAAACCCTGGACTGAACTACCAATATTCAGTAACTTCACTACTCGGACACTAGTAGGCTGAATATATTGTTTGGAGCACATTTTAGTTTGAAATGATCGCAGGGAGGAAAAATAAATTAATAAAGCTTCTTTCTGTTTTGTCTGATAGTTAAAATTAGTTTCTAATGTAATTGTAATGTCTGTCAGCCTTTGCACTGCAATATTTACTGTCTTCAGACTGTAATAAAATTTGTGATTTCTAAAAGCATTCCAGTTGCATTCAGATGGCATTTAAGGCTAGTGAGCAGTGAGCACTAAATATGAAATCATTCAGTATGTTGGGGCAGAATTTTAACACATATGGAAGATCTTCAAAATTAGTACTCTGTTATGAAGTTGACCAATGTTGCTGCAACTCTTTTGACAGCTGCTTTATGTAAACTTCCCACTTCTTATTGCAATAATAAAATTGACACTTTTCATCGATTTCTTGTATTAAACTTCTAAAATATTAAATTAATATTTTTCCTCTTTGAGATGTTTGCTATGTTGAAATATATGCCAGTGTTTTCATTTATTACTTGTATAGAAATATTCAATGATTGAAGTGATTTAATTTGTAATATGTAAAAATTTTACATTTTTATATGCAGGTTCTGTTGGTTTTTGTTAATATTTCTAAAGTTTGTTAATGCAACATTAACAATTTATTTTTAATTTAGAAGATGATTTTCTGTATTGCACAAGTATATAATTTAAGTGGATTGCCTGACAACGAGTTAGACATCTTGCAAGAATATGGAAAACTTAAAGTTGATGTTGCCATATAACAAACTTCTAAATTTCTGAGGTTTTTTTTTTTTTTTTTTTTTTTTTTTTTTTTTTTTTATTTTAAGTGCATGCCACATATTCTGAAACATTAAAAAAATACATGACAAAATTGACAGTTTTTCAGACTAAATTTTTTTAAATGTATGTCACATGATCTGAAAATTTACTTATAACATGTATTTCAAAGAAGCTGGTGGATGAAGTAGGCAGTGAAAGTTGGCCGAAAAGCTGATGTTCTTCGTATGTGTAGAGCCAGGCAGAATATTAAGAGCAGCTTTTTTTACTGCTACCTCCAAAACAGCATCATCATTCTTGACTGAAATTCTTTTGTGATTTTCGGGCAGATTTGTAAAGTTCTATCTGCGAATTACTCTACTTCAATGAATTCTGCTTGTACAAATTTTTGCTGAATATTAAGTATTAAAGATGCTTATTGATAATATTATTTTCTTTTCTATTTTTCCTTTCCTTTTTTTTTTTAACTTCCACCCCCTTTTCTCCTTAAACTTTTGAAGACGGGATGGCCATTATAGTGGCCATAGAGTCCTCTCTTATAAAAGACAGGGTTGTTCAGTTAGAATTAAACTTTTCCAGGCTGAAAAGTGGGGTGAAATGTCAAAACTGAAGTCCCTAGGGATTTAACCACTTATCTCTTTCAAAGATCTTCCTTTTGCAACATAGATGCACCCCTCTGAGAATCCATTAGACTACCCACAAGAATCTTTCTTGCAGATAGGAGGTAATTTTTTAAAAGGGGAAAACCATTGGGTTCAAGATTCCCCATCCTTTGGTAGCTTTTACTGCTACCAAAGCCCCGGCCTCAAAAGGTTAAATTTTCATTTACAAGAGAAAAAGATAAGCATTTTACAAATACATGAAACACAAAGAAATATGTTAAAAAGTCAGTTTCAAGTTATCTCACTATCTTGGAGGCTTTTCATGGTGCTGAGAATTACAAGATATGGGTCATATTAATTTCTTCACTTTTATCTTATTAGTAGTAATTTTGGTATATTTTATATTTGAACTATTTGGCTTTAAGGAACAATTCCCCCCCATAAAAAAACTAAATTTATATAAAATTTATTTAATGGTTTATTAATATAGCAAGAAAAATGGAGGAATACTTTAATAAGGAAAATGAGAAAGGTGCGGGAAGGAGTAATACTTATCATGCATATTCATAATCAGGAATGGCAATAAAATTATTTGACCCTCCAAATATTAGAGCCATAAATATGTTTGATAAAATTTGTTTGAAGATCTCTAAGGTTATTATTAGCAGTGATATGCTATTTCAAAAATGATTTAGTTTTAGGATTATGATGTTTTTATTAAAGCTTGTTATTAATTATTATAAGTTTCTATAGATAGAGATCAAATTAATGCAGTCTTCCCATAATTTAAAATCTGGTGAATCTCATATTGGAATTACTATTTCAGCAACAGATTCCTTATTTTGGAACTCTGAAATTTATATTATTCATCTAGTAAATGTATAAAAACGTAACTCCTCTATTAGTATGCAAAGTAATAATAATATTGAAAATATATTAATATATGCATATTCTTAATAATATGAAAAATTTCATATTATTAAGAAATTAAATTACATTAATGATAGTATTGAAAATTAGTCAATTTAAATTACATTAATGATAGTATTGAAAATAATCATTTTGTAAACAAGTTTCCATTAGTAACACTTAGTTATTTCTTTCTGTACTCCTTGCAATAATATAATTGGGAAATATTTGAACTATCTTGTCACTTATTATAAATCAAGGAAACACAGAATAGACTCGTCTTTTATGATTAATCTATGATTATAAACTTTTGTTTAAATGTTACGCCTGTTTCTATTAGAAGATTTTAAACATTTTCAATCTGCCCATTGCTTTCCCATAAAGTAATTGCTGTTATTATTTTGGGTATTTTGCCTAATACCACATTGAACTTTTGCCATTAAACTTTATACAATCTTATCTGATTCTGTAAAATTATTTAAATTTCACAGAATGATTAATGATATTTAAATGATTAATAAAATTCAGTTTTAATATATATCTTATATTAACCTAGGAAGAAATAGCAAAGAAAATAGTACCTGTGCACTTGCTTGATTTCAATAATGGACTGAAAACAAAATCTCTTGAAGACATTCTTGCTGCAGAAATTGAAAAGTAAGCTTATAGTTATCAGTTTTTTTAAAAAATTGTGAATTAGCTCTTTTTGTTTCTTATTGGTTTATATGGATTATGTATAGTTCTTTTATAGTTCTTTTTATTGATATGCATATTCGTAGGGGAAGTTTCTGTAGACAAGGATTTTTAAAAAATATATTGGTTTCTAGATTTTTTTTTATTATTTTTATAAAAAAAATAATTTTTAAAAATTTAATTTTTAAGAAAAAGTTTAATTCTTGACTTACTTGCTTGTTACTCAAAAGACTTCATTAGTATTTTCCTTTTTGAACTTTAATTCTTAAATGTAATACTTAAATGTTAATTTTAAGGGTACCACTTTATTGGAATTACTTTTGGTTTTGACATTTACCCTTGCCTGCAATGAAGCGTACCATGAATTTAATAGGTTGAAAAAGTCCTTTACTTACTTATTGTTTAAAAATTTGATTAAATTCATAGATTAATATACATATTACTTATTATTAATCATCTGTAATTTTTTTGATTTGGTCCTTAAAAGTCCTTAATTTTGGCCAAAATGGAATAAACGGTCCTTAATTTTGCTCATTTGACATTTCTTATCATTTCTAATGATTGCCATTCTAAGTGTGAATTACGATTTCTCATGAATATGGAATTAAAATTACACAGCTCTTAACCAATCTGTTGGCGGATTTGCATTGCAAACGATTAAAAAAAAAAAAAAAAAAAAAAAAAAAAAAAAAATTAGCTACCCGAACGAAAGTATCGGTGTCTGATTGGCTATTCACCCAATCTTTCGAAACAGGTGTTATCCATAAATTTAGGCAGATTGTGACGAAAGCGTGAAGCTGGAAGTTCTTTAAGAGGCGAAAGTGATGATGAAGGTGCTCGAGAAAAAAAAAAGGGGGGGATTCTGAAAATATTTGCCAAAATTAGAGCAATTCCAACCTGGAAGGCCACAACCCTTCCGACGCCAATAGGAACGAGATGCCTGGAAAGTGCATTTTCAATAAACTGTGGCTTCATCAAGCTGACTACAAAGACTGGATATTGATGGATGGCAATCCTTAAATGTGGTCTTTGTCTGAAACAAATTGAAATTTCTAGAATGGGAGAGTCAGCACTGAAAATTCACATGAAAATTAAGTTTCGTTTTATCATTTCAATTTGTTTTTACACGGTTTTGCTTAGCTTAATTTCTGTGTTTGTTTCAATTAAGCCATAAATTAATTTTTTATCACCTTCTACGGAGTTTATTCTCTTTTGCACATACTATATGTATGGGATATCGGGATTATGAGTTTATTTCTGCAGAGGGTCTGTTATCGATTTCGCGGGAAATCTGTTGGCTCCATTTCGATTTTAGGTCGCCAAGGGCAAATTCGGTAACGCTAGCCGAGAAAAAAAGTGAAGTTCGGAAATACGTTTTGAAGCTTCAATAGACAATTAAGTATTTGGTTTAAACCTATGTTGTTGATAGTAATGCATAATTTTTGCTAATGGCGATACAATTATTAGTTGAAAAATAACTAATTAAAATTTTTTAAATATTTTTAAAGCTGAAAACAACTAATTGAAACTAATTTTCCTGAATTAACTAGACGCAAAATTAACTTTCATGAATTACTAAAGTTATTGGGTAGAAGTTTAACTGAAAATATACATTCCGTATTATATATATATATATATATATATATTATACAGTGTACAAAGTCCGAGGTCTGGACTCGTCGGGACTTCGGCGATCCTAGATTTGAGATTTTTCCGGATATTAGATCATTTTAAATCTACTAAGATGGCACGTAGAAATTATAAAATTGAAAATATGAAATCGTGATTTATGAAATAATGAAGCATTTATGATTTAAAGGGTATCAAAATTTACAAAAGAAAAGAGCTTAATATTTATATGTTTACTTTATTAAACATTTCTTTCAATGTGAGTTGTTTGATTTGTTTTCTCTGCTAATACTTTAGACTAATACTATAGACATATAATTTCTTGTTCAGTTATTAAGTTCCATTGTTCAAGTCCTGTAATTGCTGTGTGTGTCGAGAATTCCGAATAACTTGTCAATCAAAATTTTTTCTCGTTCAGTAACCTCTCTGTTACTTTCTTCACTATCGGTAGCTGTATTTTCTGGATTTAGAACCATACTACAGATTCCGCCCTCCGTTAATTGATTGATGATTGGGCATTGTCATTGCAATGAAAAACTTCTGTTTAACTTCGCTAAATTCTGCCGCCTGGTGCGGCCATGCGAGCTCTGGAGCTGGTTCTGGCTTTATGTGAATAACAAATCAGTTATTCTTAATTCAAATAGCACTAAATATAATCGTTTGTCCTATGAGTATCATTAACAAAATCTATTTTTAGCATAAGGAAAGAAATTTCTGCTAAATCTCCCCTTGTCAACATTTTAGCGCATTAAATTTAAATCTGTAATCGTATAATACTCTGTTATTTGGCATCGCTGCATGATTCATCACTCAAGTTGTCATTCGTTGATAAACATGCGGTGATGAAAGCAAAATACAATAAATAATGATTCGCGATTTCGGCATCAAGGATATAAAATATTAGTTGGTGTAAAATTAACAAATGTTTCGGTTTGAGATTATGCCAAGCAGATACGCAGCTATGGAGTCAAGTTACTAATCACACAAATTTATGCTAAAATAATTATTTCTTCAATAATGAGATATTTTATTTAGCACCAAACTAAGATTAAGAATCGGATTTCTGGCATTTTTTTTATGATGAGGGAAAAAAAATCTAATGCGCGTAAAGCATACCCTTCCCTTCAAAAAAGCCAAAAAATTGGTTGGTGGTGGCTTTGAGGTCCAGATTTTAGATCATTCCAGATATTAGATGTCCGGATCTCGGACTTTATATATATATATATATATACATCTTTCAAAATATAACTTACCAGTATGGATTCACTCTTTTAAAATAATTCTACTTTAATTAAACTTAGGAGATAATATCAATTAATCTATATTGTTTAGGAAATAAATTATATATATATAGTAAAAAATGTATATTTTCACTATTCAAGTATTCACTGTGACAAGTATTCTTATCTTGTCACATGAACAGGCCTCTGTGGAAAGGGGCTTCTCTGTAAATAAAGCAATTGAAATTGAAAATTTAAGTGACTCATCATACATTTTTCAACGCACAGTATTTGATTACATAAAATTTTCTGGAGGTGTTCTTAATATCGAAATTAATAAAGAAATGAGATCAGCAGCAGCTTCTGCAAGAAGTGGAGTTCGTTATTTAGAAGTTCAGTATATTTAGAAGAACAAAAATCTTTAACTAAATCTGAAAATTCAAAGAGGAAAAGAAATATTATTGAAGAAGAAATTGATTATATGAAGCAGAAGAAAAACTTTCTTCAAAGGGACATTAAAGACATTAATGAAGAAGTAGATGCTTTAGCAGATAAAGCTGAGACCAGCAGCAGGAACATTGATTTGTTTATCAAAGCAAATGAACTTAGAAGAATAGTTAAAGAAAAGGAAGATTTTAGATTTAAAAAGCAGATTTCAATTTAAAAAAGCACAAATGTTTTGTATCTTTTATTGTACAGTTTATTATTCTAGTATCTTTCAAAAAACCAAGGAAATAAATTGTATGTTTACAAATCAGTTATTTTAATCTGCAAAATATTCTTACATTGTGATTATAATAGTAGTTGACTATGTTTAAATAAATATCAAATAAGTTAAATAATAATCATGTAAATCTCTAAAATAGTGACTGTTATTAGTGTAAAATACACTTATACATGTTTTTCAAGAAATTATGTTCCTCATTTAATGTTATCTACTTCATAACTTGTAGGGAGTTAGTTTAATTTTCAAAATTGTTTTATGGTAAGTATTAAGTTGAATTTAATAATAGTGCATAATACACACTTCTGTTAGTTTTTTAAAGTGAAATTACAAGCATGAAGTCGGTTGTATGGATAATTGCTTTATTCTATTCATTTTTTTGTTTGCTGATAGGTCCTTAATTTTTTCTTTGATGGTCCTTAAAAGTCCTTAATTTCATATAAGGAAATGTGTACGAACCCTGAAATGATTGTAGATAGTCGGATTAATCTTTACTTTTGCTTTAAAATGTTCTTAAAATATTTGTGATTTTTTTCCTCGGGAATATTAATTAAATATGTATTTAAATTTAATTTTTAAAATAAATTCAATTATTCTTATAGTTATCAAGATGCTATATCACATTTTCAGTAATTCTCATTGTTTAGTGATTTAAAAAGTGATTATAGTTATCTAGGGGTTATTTTAAGTTTTCTATTTCATGTTAAGTGATTTAAAAAAGCATTTTAAAAAATATCTTACTAAGAAAAATCTTTTGTTTCAAGTATGTCTCTTGAAGTTAACTCTCACATATATTTTAAATATATAAATATAAAACATTTAACAAGTTTTATATTTTTAAATATTTTATATTTTCTCATGTATATTTTCTCATATATTTTTTCTCCTTGCATATCCCCTCCCAGCTTTTTTGTTCCAGATTCTGAAAATTAAAAAAAATATTCATGTAATACAGGGTTTGTACAGTCCCTAAGAGTCCTTAAAAGTCCTTAGATTTTTTGGAATTGATTTTTGGTCCTTAAAAGTCCTTAATTTTGGCCAAAATCAGCAGAAGGTCCTTAATTTTAATCATCTGAAATTTCTGTCTGTTATTACGACTGCCATTTTGAGTGTGAATTAGCATTTTGGAGGAATACTTTTTGGCGATTCGCTGTCATATATGGTTATCTTTTGAATGGGTTAATGGGTTTTTAAATTGTTTCTAATATAAATGATGGGATACTCGAGTTTCTAAGCAAGAAGTGAAACATAAACATTTCGAAATTCATTTTTTCTAATAAAGAGCTCTTAAACAACTTTTCGCTTTTGGGGATGTGAATTCTTTTATTAAACGGTTCTACATTTGGTGACTTATCAACATTTTGGCAATTTTAAGATCAGTTTCTAAAGAAAATTTTTAATTTCGAGATCTGGGAATTTTTTGACGATTTTTTTAAAAACATCGTAACATTGATAAATTTCATTAAAATAATGGTAATATATTGAAATTAAATTAAAAAAATAACATTAAAATAAAACATTTTTATTTTTCGCTGTCATATTATAAAGTTTCATTTTGGCAAACTTATTATACAATATTTTGAATCTGAAAAATAAACAAGGTTTATAATTCTATAAAGCACAAGTTTGCGAAAACAGCTCTTAGCAAAAGCAAAAATTAGCCTATGTTAATTAATTAAAAATGTCTTCTTTGTAATTTTTTCATAGTAAGAGTTTTTCCCATGTAATTGTTTCAGAATATTTAGAATTCTCAGAATATGCATCAGTTTCTTCTATAAAATTAATTTTATCCTTTTTCCCTCCCCTTTTTTTCCCAAAATATTTCTGGCCTTTTGCTGATTACAGAATTGGTAGGATAATTTTTCTTTAGGATTTTAGACACTTGCAGCTTGGACTAGTTTAGAAGGATTTGAAGGCAAGATCAAGTATAGACCCTCATAGGCACATTATGGAGAGATTCGACAAGTTATGGAGATAAAGCACGCAAAAATATCTCCGTGGTATCAACATGGATGTATTTTACAGAAAGCTTGTGATGAATTTCATACTTTTTGGAGAACGTCTGGAAGAACAATGAAAACAATATTTGAATGCTTTACTTCTGATACTAGAATCTTTTCCTCAACATGTTTATCATCCCTTTATTTTCTTTACTTTTCACTAGACACAAGCATGGAAAATATCAAAAATGCTTCTAATCTTATCACTTGGGCAGGCATTATAGAAAGAGATTTTTTTATTAATAAAGAAATTGAAAACATACAATTTAAAAGATTCATATAATATGTATTAATGCATCATACACAGAGCGGGCACTAGGAATTTTCCCACCTGATGAAATCTCTGTAGATCCTAAATTCTGCTGCCTGGTGCCTTTTTAAATTCTGCTTTCAATGCCTGTTCTAAATTCTAAAAGTTTTACCATTTCTAGATTTTGTTGTTCCGTGTGTCACTAAATTTAAAAAATTCTGTCACACCAGCTCTGTACCCGGCCTTTACCATCTATATTTCATATTTCTTCTGAATATTCATATTACTAAAGAAATAAAATTAGCCACTTTTTCTATATATTCTAAATGCATTTAGTGTTTTTTAGAATAACAGAAATCCTTAATTAAATACTAAAATTCTAAAATGAAAAGGAAACGTGTTGTAGAAAGAAACTGAATACATAAAGAAAATTATTATTCAAAGGTATGTGCAGTTATTATTATGTAAATTACCCAATTGTTTATGATTTCAGCCTTTACTATAATTTCTACTTCCTCATATGATAGAGTTACTGGACCAGATAAAATTAAAATTTAAATTGTATAATCTTTGACCACTAGTCCACATTTTTAAATTTGAATTAGACTGTTCGTATTTAATTACGTCACCGTGAACTGTAATTGATTTTGCTAGCATCAGAACATGAAGGCATGTTCTAAGTTCTTTCTAAATAAGAGACTTATTTAAACCTTCATCTGATATTGTAGTTATTTTCAGACATAACAATAATTTGCTTCATGTATGTCTGACGTTTTGGACTATTTAACTTTTACCAGATCAAGTAAACCCTCATAGGTACATTGTGGAGAGGTTGATAGGTTAGAAGATAAATCACGCAGAAATTAGCGAGAGCATTGGTTTGCATATTGAGACAAATCTCTAATTCTTAGGAAAGATGCTTTAAGAGAAGGAAATCGATGTAAACTAGCCAAATTCTAACTCAGAAGTCAAACAACAAAAGCCAAATGTTTGGGAAGGCTTCAAATTAAAATGAAGGATAAATATTTGCAGTGTTGTTGTTACAAAACATAAATGTTTTGTAGCTTTTAATATGTAATTATCCTAATATCATTTAAGCATCAATGTCATAAATTACATGTATTTTAAACTGTGAAATTTTATTTTATTTTGATTTTAATAGGTCTTTTTAACAAATATTGTTAAAAATTAAAATTTAATAGTGGCCATGTAAATCCATAATAACTAAGGTGATCTAACTACATAATTTAATTATTTATAACTAACTGCTTACCCTTAAAATTATCTCTACATGTTATTGCATGAGTTGTAAACTTATAAGAAGTTTCAATATTATAAAGAATAAGATACAAAGAGCATCTAGTGCAACTTAAAGGTCTCTCTAGACAAGTAGTAGCAGTGAAAACATTCCGTCTTTTGATATGAATCATGCTGATTATGTATGATCTTACTTCTCATTTTAACCTATGCCATTTGACATAAAATCTGCCTGCTATTTACTAATTTACCTGCTAATTACTATGCTACTGATCAAGTATGTGACAAAATGAGATATTAAAAAAAATCAACATAAAGCTAACTGTTAGTGAAACATAGATGTCACTTATCTTCTTTCAAATATTTCCTGCTGTTATAAGTGTAAAATGTTTAATGATACTTGATAAATAGCATAAAGTTTATTAATTCTCAAACTTATTAATATTTATGTTAACTAATTCATGTTTAGTAATAATGCATGCTACTTAGGGATCTATTTTATTTTTAGGATGGTATTTCAAAAGTGAAATTCGGGCATTGATAATATTTTTAATTGAATTTATCATTTCCCATTTGCTCATAGGTCCTTAAAATTTTCATTAATGGTCCTTAAAAGTCATTAAAAGTACTTAATTTCCGTGTGCAGAAATGTGTAGGAACCCTGTAATACTCGCAAATAAATTGTGTTTTGATTCTTCATCAAGTGCTGTCATCTATCACTCCAAATCCATGAACCTATAGAATGCAAAAATATTGTAGTAGAATTATGTATTTTATTACTTATTTGTTTTTTGCTTTTAGGATCATAATTTCAGGGATTATTTTGTGTTTGATCGAATTTGTGGCCTTATATTTTATGCTATTATATTTTTGTTTTATATTATTCTCTACATTGTAGATTTTTGAATTCTGAGTTTTCAGAATGTTTGAGTTGTAAAATAGTTGTAGCAGGATGCAAGATGAGAGCAAATTTGCTTCTGATGGACCTTTGCAACAATTTTCAGTTACAAGTGGGCAACAATTTACAGTTTCTTTCCTTCTTGACTTTCTGAAAGATTGGGGAAAACACATTCTCAAAGCCATATAACCAATTCTTCCAGAAGCTACAGTATATAAGTTTGCTGCAGTATATATAATAAATAGAAGTTCAAAGCTAGGGATTTAGTTCTTAATGAGCTGCAAGGATTAGCAGCTAACTGGATTTCGAATTTGAGTTTACTCTGTGAATGAAGTTTGAGAATTGAGAGCATTTTTTATGTGCTAAGGAAAAATTGCTTAGTATCCCCATTTTCCTTGAGCTATTTCTAGTCATTTTTTTGTGCTGTGTGTCATGAATTTTTATAGTAAATCATCAATTTCTTCATGCTTATCCAGAGTGATTGTTTAAGGAGATATCAACAAATTCATGGCTCATCATGATAAGTATTTAAATTTTAGTATATAAATACTTTCTTTAGTTTTTATTTTCACATTACAGTGGTTGAATGACTATGTTCATTTTACAGTAATGAATTCTGTCTGTATTTCTTTAATATTTTATTTTGATCTAAAATGATACTGTAGTTGATTATTTTAAAGACATATTTGGAAAAATAAGTTATGATGTTTAAAATGTAACTTTTTTTTTAACAAATCCCAGTTTTATTTTTCATAAAAAAATTTAAAGTTTTACTTTATAAATGAAATAAAGACTCACCTTACAAATTAAAATTTTGGATCTTTCCATTGTAGGACAGCAAATGCTAAAATTTTTTTTCTATAACTCTATGTATGCCAATACATTCAGAAGAACTTTCAACATCAGCTGAATTTGAAGTAGTAAAATATTTCTAAACATCATAAATATATCTCTTAGGTTAATTATTTCAGTAAAGAGAGAACAACACAGAATGACATTCATTAATAACATTTTTTTGACAATACTTACTTTGAAAACAAGAACACAGTTATAAAAGTTAAGAACTATATATTTAATTTAGCATGGCCGATAGGTAATGTTGTACTTATATGAATTTTTTTCTGTAGGAAATCATGTAAAAAATGTTATTGTGTAACAAAATCATATTATATGTTTCTTATGACTATGAATAAAAAAAAACTGTGAATTAAAAGTTATTCAGGTTTATATAGTTGAACTACTGTTTCAGTTGTCTATTTAAGTTATTTAATTTTCCCCCTAGATTAACAATTTTCTTAGGTAGCAGCATAGCTTTAATTGTTGCTGAGCTTTGTTTATTTCTTGGAGGACTATCAATGTTCACAAATTGGCAGTGTCAGCTTTGTATCCTTTGTTACCAGCATTTAATCATTCTTCAATTTCTTTCAAAACTGAATAAGCTTTAAATTATTTGATTTGTGATAGATTGCATTTTTACTCAGAGTTATGCATACATTAGTTTAAAAGAAATTTCCCCCCATTATTTTGATTTTTCCTAGAACTAACACACTAGTGCTGAGTACAGTTTTTTCTTTCAGGTCATTGATACAGTATTTTCGATTAAAAGTTTTACTCATAGACCTGTTGAAGTACTAGAAAAACATTCCAAATAATTAAGGTAAAATAACATGCCAAGAAACAAAAATCACTGTTATATTTGCAAATTTTCAGAGAACTATTTTTGATGGTTTTTATCGAACCATCATTCTCAGCTGCCAAGTGCAAATGAACAAGATAAGATGAGATTCCTTCAGACTTTAAAGAAGTTATGTTTTAATTTTCTTGTTTCATCAATAGACGGCACCAGTAGCTTAACTCCTGCCCAGCCATTCTTATCTACAGTCTAGCCATTTTTATCTCTATATCTTATCTCATTCATTTGCATGGCAGATGAGAATGATGGTTCCGTAAAACCATCGAAGCTAGTCCTGTGAAAATTTGCAAATGTAACGCTGGATTTTGTTGTGTGACTGAATTAATACAAGCATTCCCAATATTGGTTTTTTAACTCTCAGAGAATATCTGCTGATTTTTCTCTTTAGTTACTTTAGAACTTGGATAAATTCTTATGCCTTCTGTTCAATCATACTTGGAAGTGTGTGGGGTTTATCCGTGATTTGCTAATATATTTTTCAAAAGGCTGAGAAGCCTGTGCTCGATATCTCAAGTTATAGGGCCTAACAACTGTGTTATATGATTTTGAATTTTTAACAAATTGATGACTAAAATAAAAGAAAATTACCATCATAGGTTTTATAATTGCTTTTAACAAAATGAATATGCTGGTATATTTTATCTTGTGTATAAGTTGATTCAAGAATGAGATAGAAATTTACTTATATTTGCCTAATAAAAACTTAGATAATGAAAGGTAATTTTTGTATCATTGCCAAAAATATGTTTTATTATATGTGTATTTAATAATTCTGGATATATTGTGGGAGAATGCTTATTATTATTATTATTTTTTTGCTTATAAATATTTGGTCCTATTTCTTCTTAATGATGACTTAGCAATATTATGTCACTTCACTGGAGCATGTGCCTTATACTATATATTGCTTAAAAGATGGGAAGAAGAAGTTTTCATTGTTGTTTTTACACTTTGTATTGTTTTACCTGCAGTGACTGAAGTTTTTAATTTATTTCGGTACTGCGTAAGAAATATGTAAATTGATTTAGATTGATGAATATGAAATGCTGACTTTTCATGCTTAGCATCTCACTCATTATGTGTTTTTATTTACTAAACATTTTAAAAAATCATGCTTTGTTATAAATGTCAGTTTCTCAACTGTGAAAATGCTTTTGTATATAGAAATATGTAATTTAATTATATATTCTGTATATAGAAATCTCTAATAATTTTGTATGTGGAGTTATAGCCATTTTGAAATATCCCAACTGCACTGTGATGCCATAATTATTTATAAGAAATTATTCTTTTGCTTGCATCAAATATGTAAATTTGACTGGATTAAAATAAAATTTCACTTTTTTTTATGAGAAAGGACAATGTTTCTTCATTGAATTTTAGATGTATGTTAATTGATTCTGAGGTTTGGATTGTAACTAAATGAAGTATGCAATAATTGAATGGAAAAATTGTAATGAGATCTGATACGCCCGCTGATACGTGGAAACGTTAAAACCACCTCTACATTATGCAAATTTTTGTGGCTGTAACCGATAAGTGTCCACATTGTGATATATACTGTGTCTACAAAAGTCTTTATCTGTCCATTATTTTTGGAACTGTTGTTCATAGACATATACTTCTAGTTAAAAAATGTTTTTAATGATGTGAAGATTCATTTTTTATATTTTTAAATAAAAAAAATTGTTTATGAAATCTAATTTTTTACACGTTTCTCCGGTCTCTGTACTTCTGTTTAGGAAAATTTTGTACTCATTACAAACAATCGTTTCAAATAATGTTATCCATTTTCAGCAACAGTTCTTAGGCCTTTTTTTTTTAAGTATACTCCTTAAATTTCTTTTTTTGTATGTTTATGTGGTTGTAACGAAAGTTTTCCACTAAAAAATGTTCTTAATAAAGTTAGGGGGAAAAAAAAACGTGAAAGCAGTACCTTTAGTGAAGGTAGTAATCACCACCCAAATCTCTGATTTTTTGCCAACGTTTTGGTAGTTTTTTAAAGCTTTCGGCCCAGAAAGTTGGTGGCAATGAGTCCAAAAACATATCAACCTCTTTCGAACGTCCTGTGCAGAATGTAATATAGCACCAACAAGATGTAGCTGCAGATGTGAAAGAAAGCTAGAAGTCCGATGTCGGGATTGTAGGGTGTGTGTGCCAAAAGATCCCATTTGAATTTGTAGAGTCCAGCTGGTAATGCAGACACACGTGGTCTTGCATTATCTTGATGGAACATTACCTTTTTGTGCCGGAAATTAGTAATACCACGGCAATCCCACCAGATACAAACCATGACCTTTTTGTTAATCAAATTGCGCTTTGCAATACTGCCGTTGAGTTTACCGGGTGCAGACCAACCCTCTTTTTGGCCTGTGTTGTTGAAGTAAATCCACTTTTAATGACAAGTGACGATCTGGTGCAGAATTTTGTCTTTGCATTGATATTCGAGTAGATTAGTGCATGTCCAAACACGTCTGTCCTTATCTGTTTGAGTCGACTAATGCGGCATCCAGCGATTGAACTTGTACGTCAAGTTTATGCAGTGCATAGCATGACTAATGAACATGGCACTGACGTCTAACTCCTTAGCAAGCTCTTGAGTGGTTGCATACTGATCTTCCACAAGTTCTCTGGCTGGCCTCATCAACATCATCACGCTGGCCAGACCGCTCTGCTTCTTGATTGTTATAGTCCTTGCTTTTGAACTTTTGGTACTAAACCTTCACAGCGTCATATGATACAACATTAGTACCTAAAGCTGTACACATAATTTAGTGACATTCTGTAGCTAAAGTACTGAAAGTAAATGATGGTTCTAATCTGGTAGCATGATAGTTCCATTTCAGACATATTTTACTTAATGATATCGATATTTGTTTTTACAAATTTCACAACACAGTGTTTTAAAGAAGTCTTTTTCTTTCAAATGCCAAAAATCGTTTGACAAAATATGATTAAACATGCCAATGTGGGAAACTTTTGTTAAAACCCAATATTTACATTGTAGAGTTCAAAAAATTCACTTTTATGTGAAAACTGGATTAGTAATAACTTCACAGTAAAGGGTTAAAAGTAACCTTTATTAACTCTTTAAAATTTACAATGTGTGAACTCGATGCTAACAAACTACACCTCTTCTTGGGCGGTAACTTTAATCAGATAATGAAACTAAAAATTTGAAGATATGAACAAGTGATAGAACGAAACTACAGTGGTGCCCGAACTAAAAGGGTGGTGGATGATGAATCTCCCCACCAGGATTTGGCGATATGGTCCCTTAAAAAAAACCTCAGTTGCTCTTTAAAAGGGGGGGAAGTATATAAAGTATTTCTCCCGTCTTCCTAGTGTGGTGATCTGCACGCTGAGTGCATATTCCTGAGGTCTGTGGTTCAATTCCCGGTGAGGGCATTGCTCATTTTTCAACTCACCTGCTTCCAAAAAAGTACGTAATGTCTCTACAACATCTTTCTCTAAAATAAAATTATGCAAACTCTGCAAAATCTAGATGTGATGGCACAAAATCTAATGTTATTTTCGCATTTAGATTGTGTAATTAAGAAACTTCATCATGAAATATGGAAAACCATTATAAATTTTGATGTGGTCTACGAATTCGGCAGAAAAGGCATGATAGTATGAGACAAAAAGTTTTTTTCCATTACTGCACCATTTTTCTTACAGGTTCACATCACTACATCATTTTTTCCACAATTACAAAACAGTGCAGTGCTTAAAAGTTTAATTCTTTTTAAGCATTTGGTTTGAAAAGCATTTAAACACCTGTTTCTATGCCAGTATGCCCACAAACTTCTATTTATCATAGCCTAATTTTCACCTTGTTCATAGCGTTTTTTTTAGTCAGTTTTAAACTTATTAACCATTCAGGGAAAGAAAGGTCATGGTCAATGCATTTAACATCGTGGAGAGCTGATTACAGAAGAGATAGCTTTTGCTTTCAAAATAGAATGGATCACCAGCCACTGAGCGGTATGTCTGCTGAACACTGGTAGTCCAGATCACCACCTAGGTAAAATATTATGTACTAACTCAATCTTACAAACTTAGAGGGATGATATAGTACTCATCAAAGGGTGAAAATTGATAAAATGCTTCTGGAGATGGACAAACTGAGACAAGAAAGAAACACTCCAGAAAATTATTTATTGTGCAGAATAGGTACAACACAGCTCGTGATATCTAGAGAAAACAAAAATTTTACAAGTGTTCAAAGTGTCAACCATGGACATTGTCAGACAGAGTACATCGAAGGAGGAATAACTGGGCGGACACGCTTGAGGATTACGGAAGTTTCCTGCATTTCTGCTGCAGTGGTCACAATTATGTGCTACTATTTCTTCTGTTGTTTCTACTGGCGTCTCATAAATGAGGGATTTCATCTGTCCCCATTTATGAGGACTGCATCAAGGTGGTTACGCACATCCACAGAAAAATGAGGCGGAACACCATTGTGCATGTACCAAATTTGTTGCTGCATGCATGCTTGTGTCACAGAAAGCAAACCTGGTAGGATATGTATGAGATATCAATTTGTCCATGTCAGGAGATAACAAAATTATTTCACATGGTTAAATCAATATTGATAATGGATCCCGATACATTGTATCGACTTAATTGCAGGATCATATGTATTACTTTTTATAAAATGAATCAGCAAAAACTAAAATAATGCAGGAGTTTTGTTAATAGAATCTCCACTCACACAGCACAACACATGGTTAACAACTGACAGACAGTCTCTCTTTTTAGTTCAAAGTTATAGTTAAATTACAATTAAAACACAGAGTGAAAAATTTGTAACTTACAACAATTAATCAAACAGAAAAATTATAAAAAACACGTTACAAATTACTTTGCAATATTTACAATGAAACAGTACTTTTTCTTTCCAATTAATCATTACTTTAAAATTTATTTTTATTTTCTGCAATTTCACACTAGCAGGCAAGCCATTTTCGAAACTGTGAATAAACTGCTTCCTGCATAGTGCAGCCATCTGGTGGTGAGATAATGAAGTGAAAGGTGTTCTAACAGATATTCCGCAGGAAACTAAGGTAAGTTGAACCATTGAGACAGTCAGGCAGCATGGGCCCACCAGGTTATCACCGAGAATGCCGCACCAGATGTTGACATTGAACCGATGTTGCACATTTTGCGGGACAATGGCGTAAGGATTCTGTGTACACCAAATATGAGCATTGTGCATGTTAAACATGCCATCTCGGGTAAATGTAGCCTCATATGTAAACAGTACTTTGGAGGTAAATTGTGGATCATTCCTCATTGTGTCCGTTACCCAGCGTACAAATTCCAGCCGACGAGGATAGTCACTTTCGTCAAGTGCTTGTACCTTCTGTATGCGAAAAGGGTGCATCCGTTCATTGCGTAGAACTCTCCACACCATGGACCTTATAAGAAATAGACCAACCCAAATGGCTTTTCTTCCTCTTCTGATGCATTCTCGGCTGTCACCTTGACCACATCCAGAGGAGTAGGGACGACTTGCAGAAACTTACAATAGTTGGCTATTGCAGTGTGTATAATTGTCAAGAAAAAGTTGATTGTAGCGCCTCATTTCACAAATTAGAGTTTTTAGATATTTTTATTTTTGAAACTGAGATTGATTTTTAAAAATTTAGCACATTTATCAAGCATATTAACATTCCAAATAATTATAAAGATGTTGCATGCTTTCAGGCCTGGCTATTTTTTTTAGCTTTTCGTATGCTGTAAGGAAATTTATAACTACTACTTTTAGAAAATAATATTTAAAATCTGAACTAATAGACAATTTCAAACAAAAAATTTTCTCTTATAACTTTTATTTGTGTAAATAAGTAAAAAATACTAAAATACCTAAAAATGAATTTTTGAAAGTTTTTGCTTAAAGTTTTAAGTTGTGCTGCTTTTTTAAGATTATAGGGGAATATAATAGCATATTTTTTATAAAGGACTCTTATCTCAATTATATTTCACAATACATCGTAGTGATAAACACTTTTAACACCTTAATAATTTATATACATTTGTTGTAATGTCAAAATTGTAAACTGTAATAATTGATTGTGCTAATATTTTATAGTGATTATTTTTTTTCATTTAATTCTAGTTCTGCATAAGATTTTTTTATTTACTGTGAATTTAATTTATTAGCCCAAACGGGCGGTAGCCCAGAAAGGCTATTAGTTTCGAAATGGCATTTTGCGCTGTTTCATTATAAACGTCCGTTTCACTTTGCAAATTGTTGCCGCCAAATATTATCGCCTTGTATTATATTTAAAGAAATTTAATAATGAATAATCTGCATGAATACATGTATGTTTCTCGCACTGTG